ACTGCCATTTTCGTTTCCTGCATCTGCAGCTCGGAAAGATGGGTGCGATGGGCTCCCTTCAGCTGTGAAGTGAGGCACGTTTTCTCCTTGCGCCACTGACAATTTAGGCTCTTAAGCTCCTGCTGAGTCTGTCTCAGTGCAGACTTAAGCTTTGTTTCTTTTACCAGTTGAGCGTCAAGGGCAGCTGTTGAATTTTGGAGGCTTTCTGTGGCCTGAAGGAGAGTTGACCTGTCGTCTTTCGACTTGATGCGATCACGCTCCAACTTCTGCTCAGCCTTTGTTAGTATCTCACTGAGCCGAGTCACATAGAAGGTTTTTCTTTCCTGGAACTCTGTCAGCAGGGATGCTTTTTCCTCCTGACAAAGGAGAAGGGCAGCTGAGGATTCTTCTGCCTCATGGAGAAGGCTTCTGGAGAGACTCTGAGCTTTCTGCAACTCCTGCTCCTTCTCCTGCAGAGTCTTCTGGAGGCTTTCTGTGGCCTGAAGGAGGGTTAACTTGTCGTTCTTCGACTTGATGCGATCACGCTCCAACTTCTGCTCAGCCTTTGTTAGTATCTCACTGAGCTGAGTCGCATGAGAGGTTTTTCTTTGCTGGAACTCTGTCAGCAGGGATGCTTTTTCCTCCTGACAAAGGAGAAGGGCAGCTGAGGATTCTTCTGCCTCATGGAGAAGGCTTCTGGAGAGACTCTGAGCTTTCTGCAACTCCTGCTCTTTCTCCTGCAGAGTCTTCTGGAGGCTTTTTGTGGCCTGAAAGAGGGTTGACCTATCATTCTGCGACTTGATGCGATCACGCTCCAACTTCTGCTCAGCCTTGGTTAGTATCTCACTGAGCTGAGTCGCATGGGAGGTTTTTCTTTGCTGGAACTCTGTCAGCAGGGATGCTTTTTCCTCCTGACAAAGGAGAAGGGCAGCTGAGGATTCTTCTGCCTCATGGAGAAGGCTTCTGGAGAGACTCTGAGCTTTCTGCAACTCCTGCTCTTTCTCCTGCAGAGTCTTCTGGAGGCTTTTTGTGGCCTGAAAGAGGGTTGACCTATCATTCTGCGACTTGATGCGATCACGCTCCAACTTCTGCTCAGCCTTGGTTAGTATCTCACTGAGCTGAGTCGCATGGGAGGTTTTTCTTTGCTGGAACTCTGTCAGCAGGGATGCTTTTTCCTCCTGACAAAGGAGAAGGGCGGCTGATGATTTTTCGGCCTGCTCCTGGAGAGTGGTTATCTCCAGCTCCAAGCGGCGGCACTGCATCTGTGAGACACATTCTGCCTTTTCCAGGGCAACTTGGAGGTTCTTGTTCTCCTCTCTCTCTATTTGGAGATAGCTCTCCAGGTCCACCTCCACATTTGACACTGCCAGAAAGTGTCTCTCAGCATGAAGCTTATTCTGAAGGGCCTCTTCCTTCATGTGCTCCAATGAAACGTTCTGGTCTTTGTTTGTGGAGGTCAGTTGCATGACATCTTTCTGGGCTTGGCGAAGCATGGGGCAGATCTTTAACAGCTGAGTTTTCAGATGCTCTAGCGCACTGCTGCTTTCAGCCAGCTGGGCCTTCAGGCCACCAATCTCTTTCTGCATCCCTTCTTTCTCAGGGTAGCATTTGGTGACTTCCTGTCTTTCTCTTAGAAGATCAATGAAGTTGGCCAGTGAGTCCTCTTGTATTTCCAGAAGGACTCTGCCCTCAGATGTTCCTGGGGTGATCCTCGCGTCACTGTCCTGCAGTTTACTCTGGATTTCTTCTTCCAGGTAACTCAGGTAGAAGTTAATGGGAGGGTCAACCTCAGTTGAGTCGAAATCAATGATTTCCATTCTCCAGTTTAAGTTGTGAGAGTACATGTCTTCTCTGAAACAAGCTGTCTTCTGAGTGAAGTTTGAGTCTCTAGTCCTATACTTAAAGGGTTTTAAAGTTCTAGAATCCTACAACATCATTCGGCTTCTATGGTCATGGATTCTATTCTTTCATCAACGTTCCAAGTGTCACATGATCATCAAACAATTGATGTGTCCCTTAGAATGAAAAATGAGCGGAACACACACAAACACGCTAACAACCAGAAACATAATTTCCCCAAAGGCTTTTTCCTCGGCGAGATGATAACAATGAATTAAATGTATTTGGAACATTTGATGATATACTTCTTAGTGTAAACTATATAGAATTAAGCTTTATTTGGAAACAACACTCATACAATCTGGTTGGGTCCTTTTAACTGCGAGCAAAGTGAAGTGACACACTCTCTTATGTCCACTGAGTAAAGAAGAACCTTAAAAAGTATAAAACACTGTGATGGTGTTACGGCCGCCGCCTCCCCGGTCGTGGTAACTCTGCTTTGACTGTGTTTTATGTAAATGAGCTGTGCGGTTGCCCTGATGCCCCTGGCTGCTCACCTCCTGGCCCGCCCCCGAAGATTGTGATTGGAGCCTGCCGGGCCCGACACGCTCCAATCCCAGCGCACATCCAGCGCACACCTTCCGGAGACGACTACAAAGCCTGTGGACAACGATCAGACGGGAGGCTCTGATGTGTGAACAGACGCCTCGCTACTTACTCTTTGCTTGTAGTTAATCTGTTAACAGGTGTTAACTTGTGTGGTCTTTATTAGTAGTGCTGTGATTATTGGTGTCTAGATTGGTTTAGTATTACGTTGACTGTTGTCCTCTAGTATAGCTGTGTTTTCTTACAGCCTCTTTTCGTTAGTTTGTACCACTTTGATAGTGAGGGTTGTTTTGTGGCTATTTGTGTATTAGTATATATTTCTTTGTATGTAATTAGGCTCCCTTATTAAGGCCCGGACACACCAACCCGATTTTGGCCGTCGATAGATGTCGATAGATGTCTGGCCGTCGATGAGCATCCTGTCGCCCTACTCAGATTGGTGTGTCCCGCACCGTTGTGTCTTTTCGGCCGTGCCGACACCTTCCGCCGCCGATTCAACATGTTGAATCGGGAGGCTGTCGGCTACAGGCCGTCGGCCAAAGAAATCACTCTGATTGGCTGTTCAGCTTAGCGAATCAGTGCATGAGAAGCGAAACGGAAGTCAGGGACCCAAACAAACGATTAAGAAGGCAAATCTGAGATTTCATTTAACTCCAGCTCTCGACACAGGTTCGGGAAAGCCCCATGAGCTGAAAATGGAACGCACACGCTATTTGTTGTTTGTTTATATCACGCAGTCTGTTCTTCTTCTCTCTGTGTATCACGCAGTCTATCTTCCGGTCCCTTTGTTGGTTGCTTATTTAAACCTGTGCCCTTTTGGCCCTTTTGTTTGCTCCAGGCTGCTTGCCTTCCATTTTGTTATATTGTTATTTAATAAACTCCTTGTAATAATTACCAATTCCAACTGGTGTATGTTGCTTTTCCTTTTCCCCTAGTTGGGACGTACCCGATGGGTAACTATAATAAACTAATGTGATAATTTCCTATTAACACTAAGGTGTGTGTATATGTGTGAGAAAGAGAGAGAGAGAGAGAATGGAGAAGTAACGGTGAAACCATGGGACATAAAATGTTGTCAGTACAAATTACTCAGTGTTTGTCTCACAAATGGTGGTCTCCTGGGTGAGAATCCTGTATTTGTTTGACCCATCCATGCCAAAGCGTTCTTCGGCACTCTTTATAAACGTCTGTTGTTCTACTAATGACGCAGATGTTTACATTTGACTCACACAGACCCTGTGTTGTGCGTCTGTATCGAGACGACAGTGCCACTGCCACAAACATAAAAAATAAAGGGCGGTGCCGGCCGTCGATGGACCGCTGACGGACCACCAACGGACCGCCGACGGACCGCTGGCGACCGGCCGTTCTGTGATTCTCCAGAACACACAGATGGCCAGTCCGCCCCTGGGTGGAGGTGAAGGGAATGAGCACTTTTACAGCCTTTTTGGCGAGTTGGGGGAACTCGGTCTCCACAGACAGCCAAAAGTATGCAAGTGACACTTTACTCATCTTTTTCTCGTTATTTTTTTCTCACGCTGCGCCTCCCCTGAAGCTCTCTGGCGCCCCCCCAGGGAGGCGCGCCTCACACTTTGAAAACCGCTGCATTAGAGGGTCTATTAAGTAGAGAACCTCAATGTCAGACTTTACTCTGTGAATGAGGCAAAGAGAGCCAGGAGGTAGTACTAGAGATGAATGCCTTAAAATCCTTCACAGGTCTCTCTGACCCATTTCCCCAAACTACTGATTCTTATCCCAGGGGACAAAATATTCTCACCTGTGCTGAATACCCCTTCTCTTTAATGGTATGATTTGCACTCTGTTTATTCAAACACAACCTCAGGACATTAGATATAGTGCCTGGTGGGACCCAGCCTGCCTTCTGCATAATTGATAAGGGACTTTATACACTCTCCAAAATGTGTTCTTGTCCAACTTTTTACTAAAAGCTTTGAGTAATATGCTTTGACTGACGGCCAATGTATTGTATCAGGATCAACAAAACACATACAATTAAAAAACAAAATAGAAACAAAACTATTTAAAACCCAAACTAAATAAACAAAACACTAATACAACAAAAAAAGAGACAATCTAGTCGAAAACAGAAAAGAGCCACAACCTTAGGATGGACACTAACATAAGAAAAATTATCGAAGTATAGAGTAACAGTCAACCATAACATTACTGAAAACATATGCACATTTTTTAATGTTGCACTCTAAAACTTGAACTCCTCAAGTTTAATGACCACTGAATATTGCATAAAGTCATGAATTATTCAAATTTGATACAGCATGTCAGTCTTCATCTTTTGGATGGCATACCATCAAGTGTCTCAAGGGATATTTCTTTAAATTAACTACAGCTAAACTTTAAAGTTGCTTCTAAACTATTCTATCAGTAATTTACGCAATTAAGGATTTGATGAAAGTCCATGTCTATGGTTGGTTCGGTCCTGCTGAGACCATCTTTAACTCTTAAAACTTGAAGAGGGACGGAGACTTAAAGGAAGGCTACTGAAAGATAATAAGCAACAATACATTTAGAGCAAAGCTTTTGGAATGTCTTCTCACCTGTACTGAGCCTGGAAGTGTTCCTGGACAAAACTGTGTCGATCCCGGGGCTGCTGGGTGTCGACTGAACTGGGACTGGAAGGATGCTCAGATGAACTGGGTCCCTGCAGACAGAGAAAAATACTTATGTTAGTGGACTTGGTATACTCATATTTTAAGACATTCTTTGCTGGCATCTTCAAAATGGATGCTTTTACTTTGTAATCTCATAAAGCCTATTGAATTGAATTTATTGAATGAAAAATAATGAAAATCAAAACATCTCATACATGCCATCTTATACATTAATTTAAACCGCAATAAGCAACATTGTTCTTATAAATAGGTTGTCATCAGTCTAAATAAAAAATATATATTATGAAAAAATTGACTTTGTGCTTAACCTGTAGTTGAAGGAACATTCACATACTGTGAATGTTCACATTTCAACAAAATGAAATCTAAAGGAATGATATGTGATGGAGTAAGATGGGTAAATCATAATTTTTGCTAAACAAAAAGTACAAGATGATCAAACATAGCGATGTAGAAGAAGGAGAAACATACAAGACAATTCACTTGAAAATCTGATTCAGACATTTTTTTTAATTGCAGGGAGGGATTTCGTCTGTCTTGAAGAGATGAAAAGTCCTTCAGTCAACACAGATAGGAGTCGCACAACAAGTATTTGACTAAATGACTGTGATACCCTCCATTCAGTGTCAGAATCAACAGGAGGGCAGAGAGACTTCACAGATAAATATAAGATTAAAAGGAATGAAGGCGTTGAATAAAAGATGGATAACTGTGACGTGACTGAATCTCTCTCTTGTACAGTTGACATTGAAGCCGTCAGTGAACAGCAGGTGGTAATGACTGATTCATCACACAGCCACACTCACGTGCGCAGTTCATTCGAGGTCTGCTCCTATGTAGAGGCTGCTTTGGAGTTATGCATCATGGTGCAAGTGTTTTAACCTTTGATGACTATTTTTTATTTCCAAAATTGAAGATGTGAAGTTACTTCATGTGATTTTGTATTGATCCTGCTCCTATTCTGTATTATTGTAGCACCATTTAAAATAGAGCTGGGTTAACAGCAGAGCAACAATGCACCAGCATGGAATAAAAATGTGTATGTTTTCATTCACAGGATCCAGTCAGGTTAACAACAGGTTAACAACAGGCTGTTTGTCCAACATTACAATCAGACAGAAAACTCATAATGAAAAGTATTACAGGAGCAAAGATATTTTACAGAGTTTTGTGTGCTGGAAATGGTTGCATCAAACCATATACTTGGATAAACCACACTGCTCTTCTTCCAGATGTAAATATTAAACACTGTAATTTGTTCTTTTTTCCCAGGATGATGTTTCAAACTTTGGAAAAGGGAACTGACTTAGGGGACACAATATTCAGGATGCCACTCTTGTGTGAGACCCATTAAGCAGCAAACCAAGTCAAAGTGCACTGAAATACCAAAGTCTGGTCTCTCAACTTTCTCTGGGAAGTCAAACTTTCTGCGGTCGTCTCCCAGTTATTTCTTCCCAATAAAGAAGACTGTCCATCTTTGATGAAGCTTTGCTATTTTTCAACAAAATCCAATCAATGCTGCATTCACTTTTAACAATGTGCGGCATTTTGGCATCTTTGAAAACCTCTCCAAGAAAAGAAAATGAGGAAAAAGCACAAAGTCAGAAAAGCACATGTAATTCTTTTTTAAGTCCACCTCGGCCTTTCTTCAGACTTAGCCTTGTCTTAACTACAATGTTTATCTCGACTAAGTTGATAAAAACATAACATGAAAGCCCATTATCTTTTAAATCACTCAAAATGCACTAGTAATAATAACTATATCCTTTGTTGCAAAGTGAAACCACAAGACAAGATTTTCGATTAGTGCAACAGTGTCTGGCATCAAGAGTAACACAATGGAGAGTAGAAAACACAGATCAGCTGCAGCTGCCGTTTCTTTCCACATGCTCACATCTCAAACATATTGCATATCCATTTTGACAATGTGTGGGATATAATCAGAATTAAGGTCAGAAATTAGAGAGTGACGGGTAAACAAAACAGAAGCTTCTGTTACAGCGCAGAATATCACTTGTAATGGACGGTTTAGAGTGCCTGTGTGATCTATAGAGACTGAAAAAGTGATCCATGGGCACCTGGGCACCATGTGGTGCAGCAGGGGCGATGTGAAGTTAACTTCAGTTCCCAGTTTGTGATGGAGAGAATCAGTTTAACTTAAGGTGTCAGAAGGAAGATTTTATTTCGGCAAGCTTGACATCCAGAGCTTCTGAATCTTAGAGACACTGCATAACATTATTTGGTTGGGTTCTCAAAATCTCTGGCAATCATACAGCCCCAATTCTGCTCAATTTAAATATATTTTCGGTTAATCATATGAGATTACCTTTTTTTTTCTGCACATAACTTGTGAACACGTCACAGACACAAAACAACAACACTCCAATTGTTTTATCTAAATAACAATAAACTGTATTTACAACATCTCATCTCATTGTATAACACATGCCGAGCTGTGGCCGACTCTTTCTCTCAAATACGCCCTCTTTTCTCCATCTCTTCTCTAGAGGACAATGGATACCAGTCCTCCGACCCTCAGAGACAGGCTAGGTTACAAGCGTCACCATGGAAACCATGGCCTCGTTCCCTGCAATCCACATATTGGAACAGGGAACTTTTTCGTCGGTCACAGCGTGGCCAAAAAATACAGAAAGCGGCTAATCAACAGAGCCCTCCATGTTTGTCTAAAGCATTTGGCATGCTTTTTCTTTGAAGCACCCTGCCACATGTGCATGGAGTACAAAGAAAAACAGCTCTCAACTCAACTCTCAAGTACTTTTACTTCAAGTAAATTACCAGTAATTGAGGTGATGTTCCAAGTACTGAAAAATCTATTTTCATGGAATTACAAGGACAAGAGCATGGCAAATATATTCACCATGTTTGAAAGCATGTTTTCAGAGATAGTGTGGTGTCCACATGCACAGTGAACATGTTTCAGACCTAAAAGGGAGAGTGAAATGTATCATTCACTGTTGAACATTGCAGCTACATACAAGATGCCATTGTACAATGAATTGTGTTCAATTAAAAATATTGTAACTTAATGATGTTTAGAACATGCTGTGGTTTTTGTTATATCTGCACACTGAAAATAAATATTTGTAACAATTCCAGTAAGGTAATTCAAAGTTCGTTTTGATCACTTAAGTAACAGTAAATAAAACATTAGATTTTTGCGGTTCAGCCAACCTGTGATTTTTCATTTTTTATTCTTCCTCATACACATTTAATTTAGCTGAGGACACAGAGTTATGAAAACGTATTAAGAGGGGAATAAATGTGGGAGACAAAGACTTCCTTTGATGCTTAATTCTCTTATAAAAATCAAAAACAGGGGTTTCACTGCACATACTTTGGGAAGGTCATCAACCGATACTTCAAAAGATAAACAGATGACTACATTGAGCAAGAAATAGAGTAATAGATAGTGATAGGAGGACTGCATATGTGTATATCTACCAACGACAGATACACTGTATACTGCAGATACAAACTGTCAAAACCCAGGGTGAGGCAGGGAGAGAGAAAGAGCACTGAGTGTACTCTGCCTCTTTATTTAGCACCCAGGGAATAATGAATACCACCACAGCTCTGCTATCGTGTGCCAAAAATAGATGCGGGGGCCGGCCTCAGCAATAACAAGTGAATACTAATATTCAGAAGTACTAAGCTGTTAAATTGTCACACTGGGTGAGATCCAAGAAACGGAATGCTAACAGATCTAGGCCACATGCAACTGCCTCCTGTTGCTTTGGGACAACATTGAACTGCAATTGATTTTTCAAGATGAACTTATCGGCCGTGTTTCAGAGCTCAGTATGCTCAAATAATTTCATTTGCCTTTATTGTCTGAATGACTGTAGAAGATGAGCTGTTTTAGGAAATGGACAGTAGACAAATGAGAGAGGGTATAAAACGTGACAACTACAGGAGAAAACTGAAAGAGACGAAGAATTATTCAAGAGCTAAAAATAAAAAAGTACATTTGTATCCTTTTTTCGCAGTCAGGCATAGTTGCATTTTGCTCATGCTTTTGTGTCAAGAGCCAGATGTATCTATTTATTTTTCCGAAACAGCCAGGTGTTAGTCTAGCAGCCTAAAGCCTAACGGTCTTATACTATAAGACTTAGAGCAATGATTTCGACAAACATACCTCCGACAATAAGAACTTAATTATTTGTGATGAGCGCTCATAGGCTCAAGCCTGTTTATATTATTAAAGTGGAGCGCAAAATTGAGCTACTTTTCTGCGATGGCAGCGAAACCATTCCCATCATATTGAGAACGTTTTCTAACTCTGTCAAGGGTGTAAAAAGAGCAGCGTCAAATTGAAGGGACATTGTTTCCCCTAACTCCTTTTGGTCTCCCATTTCTGTTTACTTGATAAGAGGTCAAACGGGTACATATCACCACCATCAGCAGAGCTCGGCAGCATCTCATCAGAGGAGCAGCAAGGACTCATGGGTATTGTGTATCACTGAGAACGTTACGCTTTCTGCACACACTCATACAAAGCCTGTGCTCACAAACACACCAAAAGGCACACACATAAAGTGCAAGGACGAACAACAACGGCATTGTGGTAGAAGAAAGAAGACATTCTGGCTCTTCACTCAGCTCTACATTGTACTGAATGTACCGGGGATGTTCAAGGAAACAAAACCGGCGCTTAGTTTATCACACAGTTAATAATAACTTATTATATCAGGGTGTTTTTCTTCACAAATCAAACAAAGCAGTGCTACAGTAACCATTTAAGTGTAAATGGCAATTAATCAACCTCCAAGCAGTGGCTCAGTCAGTAGGGGCATGGACTGTGAGCCGCAGGGTCACCGGTTCAATCCCCGAACAGACCTAAATATGGAGTGTGGACTGCTACTTGGAGAGGTCCTTGTTCACCTCCTGCCCTGCCGTGGTGCCCTTGAGCAAGGCACCGGACACCCCCCTTCCCCCCTCACTCCCGGGCGCTGTACAATAGCTGCCCACTGCTCCTAGCACTAGACTCCTGGTACTAGGATGGGTTAAA